TTTGTATTTTTTTTTTTTAGAAGTTAACTTTACATCGTAAATTATAAATTTATACAAAGTGTAGCAAATTATTCTTCTTCTTATATACTAAAGGAGGAAGTTATAGAAAAAGTTTTAATATAGTATAGAGGTAAAGACGAGGTTTTTATTTATGACAGAGCTAAAGTTTTGGTCATTGGTCTAGGTGACAAGACTGCACACTTGACACTATCTTCGTCGACATTTCTCCCCTCTAATCTTCCCCTTTTTGGTCTCCTTTCACTGGTTATAAAGCAGCTGCAATCTCAAAGATGTGATTTATAGAGGGTTGACTTAGTAGAGATGCAAGGAAATGTCTTGATATTTGATCGAATAGAATTTAAATTGTCAAAAAAAAAAAATAACAATAAATTTTTAAAAATCGAACTTTTAGCAGTTTTTATTTTGTATAAAATTAATTAAAAAATTAAATAAATTTTTTATTTATTTTTAAATTTACAAGAAAAGTTTTATGCATATTTATAATATTAAAAAAATGTAAAGTTTTTTATAACTCGAATTAAGTAAGAATTTTATTTTTAATGTCTTGATATATTTTTTAAATGTTTTATTTATTTTTGAATATTTTCATTTAAAAACTTTTTAAAATATGCAAATAAATGAAATTGTTCTTTTAAAGTTTTTAAGAAAAACAAAATTATTTTTGAAAAATGTATTTTTTTTTTAATATAAATTTAATTTTTAAGAGTAGAAAACTTATCTCAAAATATCTCAGTAAAGTATTAAATTTTAGAAAATTTCATGTAATACCAATCGGAGGTTGTTTTTTTATATCCATCATAAATCCCAAAATTCTAAAAAATATATATAATAAAAGTAAAAATATTTCGATTTTTATACAAAAAATTATTTAAAAAATATCTTTTTGATCCTTTAATTAAATTATTTACAAATTTATTAACATTTCTTCGTCGAATTTTGGATAATTTTATCATTTTATAAAACATTTTTTAAAAATTTTAAATTGCCTGTTATAGATTAATATTTAAATTTATTTTCTCTACAATATCAGTTTAAATAAAGTAAAAGGATTTAACGGTGTTATAAAGGATTATTTACAGTAAAAAAAAGGTATATATTTTGAACTATAAAACTTTAATATAATTCCCAACTTATGTAGATGATGTAAATATACAAAGTGATTCAAAAGTTAGTTAACCATTACTTAAAATGTAATTAAATAAATAATTTATTTATTTTTTTAATATTAAATTACAATTACTGAAGTAATAAAAAAAAAACATTTTAAATTAATTGTAATTTATATCATGTTTTTAATCCACTCAGTTTGTATATTTACAAGTATATCTGGTTAACTGACTTTTGGTCCAGCCACATGTTTTTTTTTAATAAAATAACGAAAATACTTTATTATAAAAATATAAATAATTTTATTATCATTTAGAATTTATTATTTACATATTTCTTTTAATTTTTTTTAATTAAATTTAAATAAATAAATATATATATATGTATGGAATTAGTACAGTTGTAACATATTAAATCACATTAAAAGATTTGTAAACATTTATAGGCTTGGTTTTATTAATGCTGGAAAATAATTACATCAGATTAGATGTTTATCGAAGTAGGTACAATCTTTCTTGCTAGGCAGCGATCAAATTTCCAATTAGTTCATCCGCTGATCACCTATATAAGGGAGAAAACAATTCAATAAGATAAAAGAATCGATCGAGAAGGAGGGGGAAAAAATTTAATTTTTAATGATCTTCATCAATTTTATTTATCAAAATAAATAAATTTTCATCGTTTCCAACGATAAAACGTTCTATTTTTCCATAATATCGATTAATAAACATCGAGAAATAATTTAAAATATGACGTCGAACTGTCAACCAATAGAAGTCGTTATCAAATAAAAGAAATTGACTGTAATTTACTCGTTAACCAATAGGAGCTATTACACGATTATATTGCGTGGTTTTTTTTCCTTCTTAGTTTTAAATATCGACCAATAGTAAAAGTATAATAATTTTAAACTATCAAAAATGTCAAAACAAGTTGCATATCAACTAAATTTTCTATATTAAACATTATCACAATGAAGCAGTCTGATAATCTATTAACAAACTGTTTTCCAGCAACTTAGCAAATATTTTTGTCATTGTTAGTGTTTACGCATCAAAGAGGGAAGATATACATCAGGAATTGCAGATCCTGCAGGACATCCAAGATTTCTTCCACGAACACCATATAATTATTGGGGGAGATTTTAATGCCTTTTCACCAACTTGGGGCAGCAAGACTTTGGATCAAAGGGGGCAGGCCATTGAAGACTTTACGGCACGTGACAACCTCAATATTATTAATGATATGGATTCTCCCCCAACTTTTGAAGGACCTAATGGGTCTTCTTGAATTGATATCACCTGTGTTTTGTCTAATTTGCTTGATGAAATTCAAAATTGGAGGGTATTAACAGATGATAATCTATCTGATAATAATTATATATCATTCAGGTTATATAATGAACATGGGAACACTTGAAGTTCATCAAAAAATTTATAACACTAACAACGCTAATTGGGAACAATTTTTTGGTTACCTGGATAATTACATTATCCCACAGTCAGACTTGCAGGACAGGGATGTAGCAGTGGACTTTATCAACTGGCAAATACATACCATCGGTAATGCCTGTGATTGCACCTTTTCTATTAGCAAGCCAAATAAAAAGGGAGTTCCTTGGTGGAATGATGAGTTGGCAGACATGAGATTAAAGAACAACAGAAACAGGAGACTTTTTCAATGCTGCAAAACTCCTGAGAGAGCTTTATTAAAAACTCAATACCTTGAGTATCAAGCAAATTACAAGGCTGCCATCAGAGAAGCCAAGATTCAGTCCTGGCGTGAATTCTGCTCATCTGATCCTTGGGGGTTTATTTACAAGTACTGTGCTTCGAAACTTAAAACACCCACCTGTCTTACAGGATTCACAAAAGGCGTTGGCGGCATTATGGAAAACACAGTTGAACATCTAATGGACGTTTTGTGTCCAAAAGATAATCCCCTAAATGATTCTGAATTTCATCAACATATAAGAAATCAAACAACTACTCGTCCGCTGGTCTCTTACCCTCCTCCTCAGTTCACGGTAGTAGAAGTTAATGCGGCTATAAAAAGACTGGCACGCAGAACGGCACCAGGCCCCGATGCACTACTGATATAGTCAAAATGATATGGGAACATTGTGCTGAGATCCTTTTGAATCTTTACAATTGCTGCCTACGTTATAATATCTTTCCAACAGCATGGAAGAAAGCAAGACTAATCATGGTTCCAAAAACAAGGTCAGCCAATATTCACACACCAAATGATTACAGGAACATCTCTCTTCTACCGATGGTGGGAAAGGTCCTTGAACGTCTTCTAATAAACAGACTGACCTGGCATTTGGAAACCCAAGGTTACCTGCATCAGCAACAATTTGGATTTCGTCCAGGGAAGGGTATGGTTGATGCCATCCTCTCTCTAACACGTAAAATCAGAGAGTTTCAGGAAACATATCCTTACGTTCTTGGACTCAGTTTGGACATCGCTGGTGCTTTCAACTCGGCTTGGTGGCCAATGGTTTTATTTAGGCTTAGGCAAAGCCAATGCCCTGCTTACATTTATAACATGATCAATGAATATTTACAAGAACGACGGCTACCTTCAGCATTGGCTCGATCACATTCAACAGGCAAATCACACATGGTTGTCCTCAGGAGTCTGTCTTCAGCCCCATCCTTTGAAATCTTATTTTTAATGATTTCCTAAATACAAACCTAGGTGATGAATGGGCTGTAGCGTACACGGATGACGCTATGATTCTAGTATGTGCTCGATCCAGGGCAGAAATAGAAAAAAAGGCAACCAACATCCTAGCTAAGGTGGTGGAGTGGGGTACAAACAACAAGTTGGATTTTAACCCCAAAAAGACTAAAGGTATTATCTTTACAAAACCAAGGGCTCCACACCTATACAGAAGAACACCTACAATCCATATGGGAAACACTAGTGTACAGATTGTACCTTCACTAAAATACTTGGGCCTGATTCTACATCACAAGCTCAGCTGGATACCTCACATGCAGTACATCTGTGATAGGACAAACCTACTTTTAATACCATGTCAAGAGCAGCAGAAAGTAAATGGGAGCTTTGCTCAAAAATAATGAGCATAATATATGATTCGGTATTTATACCAATGATTAGTTACGCTGCTCCAGTCTGGTCTGACTGCCTCGGAATGGTGCATATTGATAGAAAACTACAAAGTGCACAACAAAGAGCACTTATTCGTATCTGTAGGGCTTACTCTACAGCCCCCACAAAAGCATTACAACTTTTGGCTAGAAAACTGCCCATCCAGCTTACCATCAGTTTAATCACACAAAGGTGGCTCATCCAAGACAATCAAATCAACTCGATCAATGGAATACCTTATGATAACATTGAACGCACTAAAAAGGGTATCCCCAGCATTAACCCAGCTTACTGGCCTGACATCACTGATCAACCCTGGCCCATACAACATCTCACCATATTTACAGATGGCTCAAAGAATAATACAGCTGTTGGATGTGCCTTTGTAGTATATGCTAATAATGAAGAAACATTCACATATACAACAAGACTAGAGGAAACCTGTTCTGTTTTTCAAGCAGAACTCTGGGCCATTCTTTCGGCCATTAGATGGTGTGACTCCATATATAATAGAACAGAAATAACTATCTTTACAGACTCCTACTCGTCTATGCAAGCCATTCACAACCTCCAGTGGCGTTCACCTATAGTCCACGATATCTTGCTGGAACTGGCCAAAGATATCAACAGGTATGCCATCGTTTGGGTCAGGGGTCATGCTGGTGTTTCTGGCAACAAGCAGGCTGACCAACTTGCCTACATGGCCTCTGAAGTAGAAAGTGAACCAAGCTATAATGCCACTCCCCAATGTCACATCTTAAGACAAACAAAAGAAAATGCATTTGCTATCTGGCAAAGACAATGGGAGGAGCATAGCGAATGTCTTACAAAGGAGTTTTTTCCCAAGGTTTCAGATTCTACTCTTCCAAAAATTGGTCCAATTCTATACTGGACATGGGAAGTTCAACCAATATCTTCACAGGTTTGGCAAATCGGAAAACTCACTGTGAGAAATTTGTAACGAAACAGATGGAGTAAAACACTATCTGTTTAAATGCCCTATGTTGGACAATAAGTGTTTTACCATCACCACTCTACTTCCGCGAGAAGAAAATTGGCCTTGCAGCCTTGACATATTTGTCAAAGACAAAAACTGTTTTGTAGCATTTAAATAACTAGTATATACTTATTTCAACAGAACTACCGTTAATTAGGTCAATTTGTCTCAATGGACTGAGGTTTTCTCAAATGCATTTATCATTGATATAATATTTTATATTATAATATTCTATGCTCATTTGTTAATAATACTCTATGTATGTTACCATGTATTTATGTAATCAACTTCTATGCAAATTATTTTATGAAAGTATTTGGCTACTCTGTGGTCAATAATTTGCCAAGTACATTAACTGAACTCTAAAACATATAGCTGTAATCTAACATATTCTTGTTTTACATGTATTATGCTTGTAAACATTCTGCTCTTAACCTCGGTGGTGCTCTGCGGAGCTGAGGCCATCTTTGAAAATAAAGATTTATACAAAGTGAAAGTACTGTACAGTACATAACAGAATTCAAGTAGTTTTAAAATTTTTATCAACAAATATTCTATCAATATGAATGGTCACATAATCATCTTAATGTTTAACTAGTTTGTACACATCAAACTCTTTATAATATATAAAACTATACACTATTTAATAATTTTTTATTCTTTCTATTTAACACTTTCCAAAAAAAAATAATAATAATAATTAATTCATAATTTTCAGCTTAGCAAAAGATACAGATAGAATACTCAACGAAAAAAAGATCTATCAAATTAGATTAAAAATGTTTTTGTTTGATTGAACTTTTTGCTGAAGTTGATTTCTAAAGTGCAAATTTATATTCTGGTTTAAGAAATTAAATAACTCTATGAAATTATAATTAACAGGAGAAAAAAACTCCAAAATAAATGACATAAAATAAAATGTATTATTATAATAATACACTTTATTTAACTACAGTACAAATAAGTTAAAAATCATTAAACTGCAAATAAAATTCGTTGAATACAGTGAAAAATAAATAAATACATAAACAATTGAAAATGTATACTGCATCATTTCTAGATTTAAGAACTTATTTGACCTTAGGTGTTAATTTTAACATTTTTATATGTTCAATATAAAACAAATCTCTCTGTATACTTCCTTTCCTTCTAAAATTTATTAGAGTGCTTGTCCTAGAATACTCATATCTCTCCAAACTAAAACTCTTAATATTGTTAAAAGATATCCTTCAAATCTTTTAGACAAACTGGCAATGTATTTTAACACTAAATTAGTGCATAAAAACATTTATATTCAGTTTCCATTCTTTAATCTTCAGAAAATCAAAAATATCTACTGTTTTAATACTGTTTGACTGTCATGAAAGCTATTATCAATTATATTTCCTATAATCTATCTACTTAAACGTATACTCAACTACTATTTTTTAAAATATCAAACAATATGTTAAACCTCAATTAAATCCTCTACAGTGTAACCAGCACTACAATCTTACCAAATTCTATAACTTATCAGATGATATACGAAGAAATATTTTTATTTTACTGAATTGTACCCAATAGCGTGTAAAATCTCGATATATTTCTGACTGGAAGCGATACATCTGACGTTTACAATAAATTCTTAAAAATTAAAGTAAACGAAAAGAGCCTTACCGACATCCTCCGCCATTACAAACCGGAAACGAACTAACGTCCCCTGACGACAATAATCGCAACTTCGCAACCTTTAGCAGAGCGGCGCGCGCGCGAGCGACGTAAACAAAGCGTATTTTCAATGGCAAGCGACAAAGGCGAATCGCAATTCTCAAACTAATTAATTAAGCGAAACATGGTTTAAGTTATAAACATCTCCAGAAACGTCCGACCATCGAAAAAGTTTTCCCTTCTTCTTTTCTAAATTAGCACGTTTCAAAAACAAGATGGCGGCGAGCTCCGGTGCAAACGACCCCGTTCACTTTTTTTTTTTTAATTTCGTTTGTCAAAACTTTTTGAGCGATTTTGTGCCATCGGGCTCATCTTATACGCGACCCACAGTATATTTACATTTATTCTACTCAAGAATGCGTTATTATTCGGCGATTAATCAATTTAAACAAGTGAGAAAAGTACAAATTACCTAGACAACGGCCGTTTTCTGTTCTCTTCATTATCGACGAAAGATGGTGTAAACAGATTTTTAAAACTGTCAGTGAATTCAGATAACATGAGCTTTGTCGATGCAATATTATGAATAATGAAATGATGTAAAAATAAATAGTTTTTGTGATGCGATGTAATATCTGTTTCATAAATGACTGAAAGAACAAAATTCAACCAAACGATTTCTCTCCGACATGATGAACGTTGAGTAAGGTTGCCATCTCGGCAATTAAACGAAAGGTCGAGAGTATGTTTACGATACTTCGAAGTGGTTCTCGAACTCGAATGCGGCAGCGGGCCGATCGAATACTGTAGATATATATCAGACGCCAGCCTTATTTTTTTTTTTTTTGTATTTATTAACTGTAAAACATTGTTAACTGTTTTTTTAGTTAGCCGCGTACGATTTCTACAAACTCGAAATATTGTAAATATACTCTCGACCTTCCATTTAATCGTTTGGGTGGCAAACAGTGTTGCCACCCAAACGATTAAATGTCGTTTGGGTCGTGACGATAATTTAATATTACTATTATTAATATTATTATTATTATTTAAAGTTTATATTGTTTAAAAATTTTATAATTTCTTAAAACTGAAAGTAATATTAACTCTATATTCAAAATATAATATTAATTTCTTTCAGTTTTATAATTAAATTAAATTTTTTACAGGTTCAAATATCAAATTTTAACAAGTGAACGCGTATATAACAATTAAAAATTAATTATAGACTTACAAATTAAAATAATAACGATTTTACAAATTCTCGTTCAATTAAATTAAACTACACAAATAGCCGAAATGCAAATATTATCGAAATACACTTCAAATGAAACTACTTCAACGAGCGCTAAAACCACTCCTAGCGGCCATTTCCGTGAAATAAATTGTCTCGGTTTTTGTTTTTCAAAAAATAAATATTCAAAAAATCTAATTTTAGTTTTTATTTTAATCAAATTGTCTAATTTATTGCATTTTATTAATAAATAGGCAAAATATACATAAAATAATTCGTGTGATTTAAAATTCATTTCGAATTACATATATTATTTTATTGGATATGTATTTTAAAATTATTCGTTTGATAAATTAAATTTACGGATTTTATTAAATTCACAGTTTAAATATTTTAAATGTGTAAAACTGAAAACAATTCATAAAATTATTTTTAAAAGTTCATAAAGAAATGACCTTTTAAATTAAATTCTCGACATTCGATTGCATCGGATTAAAATCGAATGCCGAGAGAATTGAAAAATGTTTAATTGAGGAACATCGAAACTTCATTTGGAAAGGCGTTTACAACAAGCACACGAAATATCGGTAAACACATTAGCGAGGTTGCGGCCGAAGTTTTCAACGCAAAAACGTGTACGTCGGATGTTCGGCGCCGCCTTTCTGTAAGCCTAGAAGTTTGACAATGGCGTTTGGAACGTCAGTGGAATCATGCTCGACGTTCCAAACGCTATTGTCAAACTTCTATCCCCTATTTCACCAACAGACGATTAGACAAATCGCAGGATTAACAACTATCACTAATACAGGATTACTGATTTTGCGTTCCACCATTCTAAGATTAGACGTAATCTGGCATTAGTAACTAATCCACCAAATTCGGGCGATTAGTGTANAGCTCTAAAAATTAATTTTTGTTTGGCTAATTAGTTTTTAGTATCAAAACATTATTATTAAAATACTTTGTTTACATAATTTATATTAACATCAAATTATAATTGTTGATAAAAGTTTTATTACTTTTATGCTAATTTTACAGTACTTTATATACAAAGGATCACTAAAATACAATTCTAAAAACAAAGGGAAATATGTATAAGGGGATTAATTAACTATTTAACACTTACATTTGATGCATTCAAAGTTTCATTATTTGATTCTCCTGATTGCTGTTGCAGTAATGCAGGAAATTCGGCCACAACATTATTTGAAAATAAATACCAATGCTTATAACTTTATTTATTAAATTGTCATTTATTATTATTATTAACTGCTTTATTACTGTTTAGTTTTGATCGAGTATAATTAGATAAACAAATTTACCTTCGACAGGGACATTAAAATCAGCATCGCTGTCAACAGGATTTGAGAGAGGCGTAAATTGTCGGGGATTAAGGAGAAAATTTGTTGTGTAATTGGTGGCATTGGACACTCGATATCGGCACATATTCCTCCTCCAGTACTCATCCGTGCTCGCTTATTTGATCTCACATCTTTTCTTGCTTTTTGTTTTAAATTTTTCCACAAAACTTTCAAGTTTTTTGTGTCCCGTTTACTAACCTCCGGAAACTTATTAAATAAACTCTTCGGTTAGAACTTGCCACGTTTCATTTTTTTTCTTTAAGGATATGGCATTCGTCTCCTTTGATTCGATTATATTTTTGTATTTTTCGATTAATTCCATTAAATACTCTGTTTCTCGATAAGAAAAATCGGGTTGTCGACTTCGTTTCTTGTTGTCTGCCATGTTTGTATCTAAGTGCGTATTACGTCTTTCCGAAATATCCAATCGAGTAACATGTAAGAAAATTTTCTAGTAACGCTAGTGTCGAGATTATCGGATTCACTAATCCTGTTCTTAATATTTCGGGATTTACTAATCCTTCACTAAAATTTGTTGGTGAAATCCTCGCGTCAGTAATCTCGGTATTAGTCTAATCGCTGGATTTACAAATACCACGATTAGGCAATGTTGATGAAATACCCTGCTAGACTTACAGGAAGGCGGCGCCGAACATCCGACGTACACGTTTTCGCGTTGAAAACGTCGGCTGCAACCTCTCTATTATATAGGAATTTACTAACCTTTTAATTTTGAAAAGTTTTTGTAATATCGCCATTTTCATAATCTATATGACGCTATTCACTTTTCTCAAATTAATCTTCAACAATTATCTTTTTCTAAATAAGTGTTAATTGAATTCCTTCTATTATATTACCTTCTATCAATATTATTATTTTTTATTCGACTCCGTCTGTCAACGCCTGTATTTCGGAAGAAGAAAAATTACATTTTCTTTTTCTCTCTTCCATTTTATCACCGTAACTCACGTCGGAGAAAGCATGCTCCAGTTTGAAAGTTTCGAACTACATTCTTAACGAAACAATATAGTCTGCAAACTAGATAATTGATATTTTGTGTGCCCACCAGTGGTCGAGTGGATAATACCAATAAACACTAGTAGTTAGTCGTAGATTCGAGCCTGTCCAATGGGCTAGCCACGTGGAGTTTCCCGGGTTTTCTTCACTTTATTAACACGTAAATAGGGACCAGTTTCCCTTTAAAGACCTCTCGGGAGGCATTCCGCTCTCAGATCGTAACCAAATAAACAAAACCAATCCTGATATTTTGTCGTAAAAAGGGTTACGATGAGCTTTGTACATTGTAGTTACGATATGTCGTAATTAACGATGTTATTTCCTATTTACCTATATGAGGTATATAATACTATATTAACTATTTTATGTACTATACTAAGGGACTTAGCCCATTTTTCCGCTATACTAAACTCAAAACAAAAAATTCGTAACAATTATCGGATCCCGGTGCCGCCATTTCTACTTTTACTTTTCGTAATTACAATTTCATATAAAATATAAGATCTTGGTTTTGTTAACTATCGGATGGCGTTAGAGGCAAATTTACTAAACATTCATCGATAATTTGTCAACATTTTTTATTGCTATATTTATTAGAGTGAGTGATTTATTAATTAAAATAATGTATTTTGCTAATACAATTCAACTTTGTTCTTAAATTATTTCAGTCCTGTGAGCACTAAGAAGGCCTTTTAATCACATCTATCAGGGGTTACGCATGGCCCACAATGATGAGGAACGGAGCCTGACATATTCGGGACGAACATGGAGTGTTTGACCGCTCGAATTCGAACCCGGGTCCTCACGAACAGAGGATAGTCCGAAGCTTTAACAACTTCGATTATGGGTCATTCTGGTTGTTCATTGGTTGGTTGGTACTTGTTTTTGCTAGTTTCGGCTATAAGCAAATAAATACTGTATAGATTTTAATTTTTTTTCATTTATTTAGTTTGGTAGGTTCAATTCTAATAAATAAATAGCTTACCTCTCCAGTTTTTTTTTTCGTTGAAAAAATAATTTAACGAAGGGTTCGTTCGTTGCTGGACGTCCTCTACTAAGAACATAAAAATCTTGAACTTTGAACTGAAAATATTTATATCGCTGGCATTCCTTCATTTATCGAATCACAAACTTCTTTTAAATTCCAAACTGAAATTGTATACAGTATTTCTAAGTCACTATTTCACTTCTTAACTGGCCAATTTATAACCTAAATTAGCTCACTTCGCCCAGAAGTATAGTAAAATATCCATTATCCGTCATTCTTTTAACCGTCAGAGTGCTAAATTCAGTTTTAGGGGTACAGTTACAGTAAACTTTTAAATCTTTTTGCTACTGCCATAATGTACAATACATACTGTACTGTTCTGTACGTGCAGGATTGGGTATTAATTACGGATTGTAAATTAATTCTATTATCTGTCGCGGGGTCTGATGGATAAGCGTTTCTACTGTATTGTTCATACACTCTAATGGAACATTCTATGGTTACGCGGCTATCTCCTGCATCATCACTTCCGATTTATAGTTTCTACAAGAATGTTTATAAATGGCGCACATCCTGAAGTAGACACTACAAAATGACTAAATATGGCGGCATGTTGTTTAAATCAGATGTTAAATATAAATACTGTCTAGTTTGCTATTATATAAATAATTTTTGTAACGTTTCTTAACATTATACAATTTAAATTTAATTAAAATTTGGCTAGTTAATAAATACTAAACTTACGCCTCCAGAGGGGGCGAGGTCAAAATTAAAACGTGCCGCCACCTCTTGATAACTTTTAACATTACAAAAGTAACATTAAAAATTATATATATACACGCCAGAATAATTGATTTATAAGTGTAAAAAGCGGATTAAAATCACTTATAAAGTTTTCAATCACGAAACTAATTCACTACGTAATTAAATAAATGAAAAACTCACTTTTGTACGCTTAATATACAGAAAACACCTTACTTAAAAAATACTTTAAAATGCCGGAAAAATTATTAAATCACTCATTTAGTTGATTAATTAGAAAATATGGAGTTGGATTAATTTTTAAATAAATTAAATTAAGAAAAAATAATGGCACGATTAATAATAATATAGAGTAAGTGCATTAATTGCAGGTGTCCTTGCCAATCTGGATTTGGTACTCGAATTCAGAGAGGATGTGATACAAACCTTTAATGAAGCAATTACCCATTCGCCTGTGTTATGCCAGAGTTAAAAGGTTGCTCTATTGCACTTTCCATTATTTTTTTGTTCCCTTTCATTGATTTTTACCTTCATGGATCCATCTTTAGTTTCTTCCCTCTTATTGATGTTTAGTCTATGTGCGGGTGGACATATCATGAGTAAGTTTTATTTTCTTTAAGTTTTCTGCCGTTTACCCGATTTAAAATTCTAATAATTAAATATTCACTAAGAAAAAAAAAATGATAACATTTTAAAATATAAAATTTCGTCCGATAAAATCATATTTATTACGTCATCAAATATTTTCCCACGTAATATAGGGATTTTAGGGTAATTTCTGGGGGAAAGTTCGGTAGAAAATGCTTTAAATTCTCGTCATTTCAGGGTTTTTTAAAAAATTTTCCTTCTTAATCGCTAAAGGACGCTTAAATCTTTCCAAGTAAAACTTAATTAATTTTCAGAAGCAATGTAATAATAATAATAATTAATAATTTTAAATTGCATTAGTCATTTCCTAACTTGTTTAATTACGTGAGAAAGCTTTCGAAAAGAAACAAATTTTAACGAATATTTAGGGAATTTTCTTTATTTTAAGAAGTAATTTCTGTGAATAGGGAAATTAATTATTGTATTATTTTCTCATATTTTAAATATTGAGTTTTTTTTCATAATGGGATTTTTAGGGAAATTTATTTTAGTAACCGAAAAAATTCACCCGCATTCCCTGTTTGAAGTAAATTTAATTAGGTAAATATTTTAAAGGAAATTTTTATTATAAGAATACCCTAAACTTTTTAATTAAAATGAATTAAATTTGATGGATGCTTTCCCTAAAAAATAAATAATTTTTGGAAATATTTACGAAGTTATTTTTTTCAAAATTATCTAATTGTAAAAAATAAATCTATAAGGACAATTATTATTATTATAATATCTAATCATTTTTAACATTTTCATTACAAATTTTCGTAAAAATTCCCTGAAACGAAAAATTTCCCCATCACTTACAAATAAGCTTAATATAGTGGGGAATAAATTTCACGGAATTCAAATTAAATTTAGGGACTTTTTTTAAAATTGTTTAATTTAAAGAAATTTATTAAATAGAAATGAGTTTCTATTAAAAATTTTACTCAAAATTTACATGAATTGGTATAAATTTTTCTAATAATTAAATATTTTTGCTATTTTCTTTTAAAGAAGAAAAATATTTACTAAAACCCACCAGTGGTCGAGNACAGACTGCTCATGAAAAATTCCTAGAAAATGCTCCAGGAAGTTTTAGTGGGTAGTCTATCCTGGATATATCAGGCTCCAACACTTGGTTACGACAGCTTGGGGATAAATCCCCAAGCTGTCTGGGTTTTAATAATTATCTTTTTAAGCACTCATTTTTTCATTGTTAATTTCCCTTCATTTGCAGTGTTTAACTGCTATATAATTATTATGTTAAATATAAAATTTGCACAATAAAAAAACATGCTGCATTTCCATTGAATATTGATTATCCAGCATAAATTAAATATTCCTATCATATAACTCTAATTTTAAATTGTTTTCTTTTGATAGATGAAGTGGAAAGGCTGAGACTTCAATATCCAGAAAATGAATTGCTGTTACAGAAATTACAGAATGAGACTTATGAAATTATTAATCCCATTCAGATGAAACAGCATCTCAAACTTGGAATATCCACAAAATATACCTCACACAATACTGTAAGCTATTGTATTCGCCCAATTTATGACATACGCCATTTCCTTCGAAACAGACTATGCCATTACTTTCAAGCCTATATGGGGACAAAAGGGATTGATACTTGCTAACCTAATTAGAATCAGGATGAACTAGCCACTGTAGTTAGTGTGTCAAATTAATTAATGCACCTTAAACGGTGGGTGAAGTTTAAAGAATGGTAATGTTTTTGATTCGGTTAACAAGGAAAGATTCCATTTTTAACTATTGACACTCAAAGTTAGTCTGTTGATAGTTGAAAATGTTAACATTCCTTAAACTTCATTCACTGTTAAAGGTGCCTTGATTTAATTCTAATTATAATCTTTCCAAAACAATGCCATAGATATGATGATGCTAGAAAACAAAATCTAATGCTGTTTAATTTTTATTTTATTTTAACTGTGCTTTTTAATTGCTTAAATTTTAATAAATAATATTTCACTCAACACGCAAATTAGAATTGTAAGACACTCCCAATGATGAATTGGAAAAATTAAACAGCATTTAAGACACTTTAAAATTAGTTCAGAAAAAATTGTTTTTAACCATTATTAAAGTTTGAATGTTAATAAATTTATAACAATAGATTAACATTTATTTATTTCTTCCAGTCCGAGAAACATTATCAACAAACTACCTTGCTGATAAAAGCGTTTAATTACGACTTTCGCCTGGAATTAGAAATAAACAAGTAGGAATTTAAAAATTCTATAATTAATTATAGCTCGAGCTCCACCGATAAATTCGCTCGAACTACCCTTTAGCATTTCCGTTCGAGATTTTTATCTAATAATTAAATATTATGTAATAAAAGAAAAATACTGCTTACGCTCTTTATCAAAAGAACATAATCTGTGCTGGCAAATTTTCTTTAATAATAAGTAATAAAGATTAATTTAAAATGCTTTAAAAATCTTGAAAGATATAACATGTTAATAACTGCATGTGTCAACTGTGTCAAGGTTATTATCTCATTTATTTCCTGTACCTAATTTTAGATGAACAGAACTATCATTGCTCTTAGCAACTACAAATTAAGCTTATTAAACTTAACTCTACTAGATGTAAGGTTATATTATTATAGTTATATATAATGTACACATATTTACAGTACCTTTAAAAATAAATTTAATATTCATTTTAGATACCTACTCTCCCCGAATTTAATTTATAAAACATACTTACCGGATGGAGTAGTGCATTCATCACAGGTTATTATTTATTTTATTAGAACCCGATTATAAATAATCAATTATTAAGATAAGTAATTTTGTTCGTAGTCTATAGAAAATTGCTATTATCATGCAACTATAAAAGATTATCCGGATGCCGTAGCTGCTTTAAGAACCTGCGATGGGATCAGGTATAAAAAAATGGCATTAAAAAATATATTAATTATATTTATTAATTATTATAAATTAATATAAGATGTGTTATTTTATAAGCGGTATCATCTACTTGCAAAATGATACTCTAGCCATTCATCCATTTTATGGAGGTGATCTTTCGGTAAGTGAGTTTTTCTTGTTTTATTTAAATTACTGCAAAATGATCTTAATAAGTTACTTTTATGTTTTATAGATCAGACATCCTCATGTTATATATCATTTGCCACCTGATACAGACACAGTCAAACTATGCGGTAACTGTATATTGAAAATCTAATAATTATAAAATTATTATTCTATATAACGGCATCTTAAATATTATACAATGTAAATGTTAATGTAATTTTTTTCTTTAATTAGTACACACAGACTCATTTTATGTCACGCTGATTGGTAGATTACTACAATAATTAATCAGTTCAATTTTGACAGCCAGATAGCCAAGGCAGTTAAGGTATCAGCCTATTGCTCTGGAGGACCTAGTATCAAATTTGGGCAAGTAACTCCCTTTACGAGTTGCTCGCCCAGATTCAATTATAGTCCCCTATGCCACAGACTGCTCATGAAAAATTCCTAGAAAATGCTCCAGGAAGTTTTAGTGGGTAGTCTATCCTGGATATATCAGGCTCCAACACTTGGTTACTAATTGTGGGCCTAGCCAAACTTGTAATAGATATAATTAAAAAAGGCACTCTTAGTGCCCACAGGGCAGCAACAGAGGGGAAAAATCGGTTCAATTCAATGCTATTACTGCTATTATTGTTTATTGTACATGTAGGACCGACGGGCCAAACACACCTTGACCTAAAAGGTCCATTGTGCACCCCACAAGAGATTACTATTAATTCTGTTAGTAGAATAATAAATATTGCCTATTTCATTTTAATTATAAAATAATTTGTTGAACTTGTATGTAATAAAATCTGCATTAAATAAATATCCTTTCAGAATCTAAAGAATATTAATATATTTATTTTCACAGTATAATGTGTAAGGAATTGCAAAATAAAAATTATATAATTTATCATTTAATATTTATATTGATGTTAAAAAAGAAAAGGAAATAAAGTATGAATAAGTAATTACAAAATTATGTTAAAATGAAAGTGTTCAGAAAATTTTGTGTATATTTTAGATCAATGTCTAGTAAAGGATGATCAAATAAGTAGTTTATTTATGAGAAGTAGACTTGATGATGATAGAATTTCAAATAATATACTGTATGAATAAATATCATCCTTTAAGTCTGTAGTAAATAAATGTATAAGTGTTGAGTCAGGGCAAAAAAATTTTTGTTATCACTAATGTACCACCGTCATCATCAAGTCTACTGCTCAGAAGTAAGCTTTACTTATGAACACTCAGTATAATGAAATTACATGTAACATTTTAAAGAACTGAGATGTTTTTTTTTGTATCGTGTAATGATTCAAAATTTATCAAAATATTTTATAACAGATATCAATGGAGTTGAAGAAGTGAATACAAACGATACAGACGAAGGAAATCTAACTGAGACTGCCAGAACTCGAGTATAATGTGTTGAACTTTTTTGTAAAAACCTATAATTAAATTTTATATTTATAAAAATCTTTTTCATTAGAGAAATATTCAAGAATTAATTAAATATATCGAAGTGGGTATAGTCATCGATAAAATTACGGTAAGAATTCTTTTCTGTCCATAACTTGATAAACAAATTAGAATTGCCTTAATATTTTTAAATTTGTAGTTTAACATGAAAAATGGCATACATTCTGCAGTAATCGGTGATATTATTCAATCGGTAAATTACGTCGATCTGGTAAGTGATGCGTCTTGAGAAAGCAGCTGATCTTATTGCAAAATATTCATTTTTTATTTTTGTTACAGTTTTATAAAAAAATGAATACTCGGCTGTCGATAGTATATGTTGAAACTTGGAACGATAATGATTACGTAGACACGGAAAGCCCTCTTCAGAGCATAATGAATAATTTTATTAATTATGCAACTGATAAATTATCAACAATCAATAGAGATGTTATGCTTTTTGTTACGTAAGCAATGTTATTTTTATTAGTAAAATTTAATAAGGTTTTAACATTTATTTTAAACTATTTTTAGAGGCCACGAAATTCAAGAAGAAAAACTGGGAATATGTACTCCACGTAGTATTTGTACTGATCAATCTGCTATTATATTACAAGTAAGTTAAAAAAATGTTAAGTTATTAATGACAAAAAGATATTAAAAACTAGTTTGTGTGTTTTCATGTCAGGGCAGAACCGATACTCACATAATTGCCGGAACTACAGCTCATTTGTTAGGACATACCCTAGGAATAAACCATGATTCAGGTAAGTTTTTAAATATTAAATAATTTTCTCTGACACAATATATTTTGTTATTAAATTACAGCTGACTGTATTTGCGAAGATTGGTGGAGGGGATGCATTATGGAAGAAACATTAACGTAAAGAAATTTTCCATTTTAGATATCAAATGTTTCTTTTTAATTCAATACTTAGTCCTTGATATATTTATCATATTATATACCTATAAAGAATCTATCTTAATTTTAGAAACTGCATATTTTGTATTATTTTAATGTATTTTAATATTTCAGAAATAGTACCAGATCCCATTTTTCTTCATGCAATCTTGAAACGTACCTTAATATTTTACAGAATAACGAAGCCATCTGCCTTTTCAATAAGCCATATCCGGTACATTTTTTAAGTCATAATCTATTGAATATTTTAAAAAACATTTTTGCATTTTTAATGAAAAGATAATAACTATAAAATCAAAATATATACCAATCTATGTATTTACATACATTTTTCAGTTAGAAAATATTCCATTTTGTGGCAATGGAATCATAGAAACTGATGAAGATTGTGACTGCGGTAGCATTCAAGTATGTAATTATTTATTTATCAAAACTTTCAAATGTAATATTAAAGATATTTTTACAATTTTAAACAAGGATTGTTTGGATAACGAGCCATGTTGCAATCCTATTACCTGTAAGTTAAAGCATGGAGCTGAATGTTCTCTTGGAGAATGTTGCTATAATTGCAAAGTGAGTTATTTTTTGTTATGATAAGCACAATTACTAATGAACAGATATGTAAATATTTATTTTTAAAGTTAAAGCCAAAAGGGCACCTTTGTCGGAAATCCGTCTCGGAATGCGACATACCAGAATATTGTGATGGAGTTCATGGAAAAGTAAGCTATATTTAATTTAATGTTGTGAAAAACCAAATTTCTTATGGTAACATTTTTAATTTTTATTATTTTAGTGTCCCACAGATATTTATCAAAAAAATGGAAAATTATGTGGAGATGGTGAGAATTACTGTTATCTGGGAACGTGTCCTTCACCACGATCTTTATGCGAACACATATGGGGATACAGTGAGTAATAAGAAATGAAAATTCGCAAAAGTTTACACATTTAAATCAAAAAATATCTTAACTGATAGATTCTTATCCTGCCGATGACATATGTTTTGACCGTCTAAATGTTCAAGGAGGACTTGGTGGACATTGTGGAAGAGATGGACATGGAGGATACAAGAAATGTCTACCAGAGTAAGATTTGTATTTAGAATTCATATAATTTATACTATTATATGTAATGATAACATTGTAGGAATGTAAAATGTGGAGCACTTCAATGCCAGAAAGGACTTTATAATAAACCTTTAATGGAGCCAGATACTGAATTTACTTCTGCAGAATTTACAAATAATGGAAGCATTTCCAAATGCAAGTATGTTTTAATACATCTTATATGTATTAAATCTAATAAATAAATTAAAAACAATAATTAAATTACATTTTAAACAGATTAATGCAAGGGAATGAAAGTACAGACATATGGACTATAGTGCCGGAAGGGTCAAAATGTGGCGAAAATAAGGTGTAGTATAATTGTCATTGCTTTCTGCATTACTTGTTGCAAATTCTGACCTAATATAATTTATTAGGTTTGCATTAATGGAAACTGCACCAAATTAGATGATGTTGTTGACAAGTGTCCATCAGATAACAACAAAACATGTTCTGGACATGGGGTATGACATCAAAATTATCAGCTTTATTTTGTCAGGTAGTATTATATTATGCATAATGAAAATTTATATTATAGGAAGAATAGGTTTATTAAGAAATTTTTGTGTTGTCATTAAATTATATTTTAGAAGATTTGAATCTTCAAAAACTTTAATATAATTTCATAGATATGTTCGACAATTGATACTTGCTATTGCAACGAAGGATGGACCTATTTCGACTGCAGCGTACAGGTTGATTCCGGAAAAATTCCAATACAAGTGAACGTAGATAATTCGAGATCTTGGCTCAAAAAATTAAGTGTCCAGATAGTAAATTGTAATTACATTAACAGAAGTACAATTTTAAATGTAAGAAGTAGAAATTGTTATAAATGTTTTTATCCATATTTTTCACAGTTGGAGACACTCCATTACTTGATATTCCACAGCCAATATTGGTCATAACACTTGTAATAATAGCTGGACTTTTTGTTTTTCTAATAGCAATATACATTGTGTAAGTAAATCTATTTATACAATGTTTTAATCTAATTTATTTCTACTTTTTATAATATGTTATTGTTGATTAATCCAATTTATGTTTTCCAGAAGTCAAAATCGGATCCAACAACCGACAGAACAAAAGATTTTTACCGAAAGTCAAAGAGAACAAACTACACCTATAAATAATTTATAAATTATATATTAGAATATGGATAAATGTTAACTTTCTTTTTCAAAATTATTTTGAAATTGATTTTGATAAACTAATTATCAAGTTATTTGTACATTTTTGAGAAAGAAAAAGTGTATTTAATAAATAAACTATAATATTTTTATAATTGTTAAGAAAATATTTCTGATCTTTATATTCATTTTTAAAGACTAAACTTTAATTATGGATATTAAAAAGGCAAAAATACTTTACAACCATTTAGAATTACTATTAATATTTGTAACAAAAATTAAATTTTTCTGTACACAAATATTTTTATTTATATTATCAATTATTGAACACATGATTAATATTATCTTTAAAATATTTTTACTATTTCTTTACATTATAAATTTGGAAGACATCCTGATACGTATCACAGAATAGATTATTAATTATCCATGTAATTTAATAGCATGATTAATATATTCAGATCTCATTTGTGACTAAATTTCCAGGAGTTATATTGAAATTCAAGGAGCGAGTCTTTCATAAACCCAACCATCATCTCCAATTTTTGACAATTTTGGGCAACACGTTTTACCTTCTTGACGAGAGAAACGAATACGATCATGTGCTCTGTTTGTTTGTCCCTGCCAAAATTCTATCACTTCTGGTTTAACAATAAAACCACCCCTATGACATTAAAAACATTTAAACTATGTAACTTTGAATTGTAATTTGAATTATTAAAACATATTTACCAGTTTTTGGGTCTAGGTATTGTTTCCATATCTTCAAACTTCTTTCTTTCTTCACTCAGATACTAAAAAAATAAAATGAAATAATAAAAATATAATAATAAATTATATAACTTCAGTAAATGCTTTAAATTTATGCCTTACTTCTCTGTTTGGAATAACAGAACTCTGTTTGCTGACTGAACAAGAGATTTGGCTCTCTCGAGGTCTACTGTTAAAATATTCATCAGATTCTTCTTTTGAAAGTCTTGTAACAGATCCTTCAACTCTTATCTTAAAATAATAATAAGTAAATACAATATATTTATTACTCTATAAACTAATATATAACCATGTTTATGTTATAGACTATTGTATTAGACTATAGCAGCATGTGACAAAAAAACATTAAACTATTTATTTCTAACTGTGTTGAAAGATCATCTGCAAAATTGCACACAGATTTATTAAAGAATCATTTCTTTGATTCTTACTAAAAACAAAGACATAATTAGCCAATAGCTTATACATACAATATGCCATATTTTAATCTTTATTACTTAAGTGAATACTTTACATAGAAATATAACAACTAATAGCTTTTAAAAATTCTTAGTTCAACACAGTGTTTCTCAACGGGGGCGATATCATCCCCACGTGGGCGTTTTTCCATGTTGAGGGGGCGATTAGTAACAATTTATATTTTGGGGGGCAAAAAACAATTTTCTGGGTGATACAGTAAAACATTATATTAAGAGTAATTAGCTATTTTATTCGTTATATTGTACAATAATTAAACAAATAACATTATACTAGTCACTAGTCTATTCAATACAGTACGAATTTGGCGTTAGCCTTGGCACTGGGCATCAGAATTTTGTAGTGAAGGGGGCGTACTATGTAACAGTTTTATTGAAGGAGCAATACCATGTTGAAGGGGGCAACGATTCTGGTTTAACAGAATGAAATAAAATTAAACATATGAAATTAAAATTGTATTGTGCATATATTTATCTTTTCTACTTTATGAATTATTTCCAAGGAAGAAAAGTGCTTTAAAATGTTGAAGGAAATTGTTTCACCCATAGAATTATGTACATTACAAGGGGAGGTTAAGACATGGTCATCATGGATAAACCTTTGAGCAAATGTTTTCAAGAAAATAAAACTTAAGTTTCGAGTGACTTATGAGTAATTTCTGCAAAATATATCATTATAGACCACATAGTTTTGTAGGAGAATGCCATACTCGTATTCACAAGATCATTGCTTTGCATCTCAATGAGTGAACTTTCTTCAGATTAATGAAACTTTTACATAAAATAATTATAAATTACATGGATTTATACATGCAATTTACAATTATGGATGGCAGGTAAGGCACTATTCCACCAAACATGCAGTCTGTGATGATATACTTTGTAAGACTTGAAGTTAAAAAATTTTGAGTAACTTAATTTTCTTTGAAACATTTGAGAAGTGAGTTACATTCTCTTTTAATATATTCAATATTCTCTTTGCTCAATAAAACTTTGTATCAAGGCTTAACCACAAACATTATTACCAAAATCGGTAATGACCATGTCATGACCTCCCCTTGTCACTGTTAAACTCAGCATAACATGAACTAAACATTTAAAATAATTTATTTTTTAAATTAACATATCCTTGATTTATAAAAAGTTTACCTGACGATGTAGAGGTTCCCAATAAAATGTTAAAGCAGCATGAGGATTTTCAGTCTACACCATAATTAAAAACAAATTATTGAAGTATTCTTTTAATATACAAATTATTTCATACCAAACAATAAAAAATAAATAAAAATATCTTACAATTTCTTTACCCTTCCTGCTTTCGTAATTTGAATAAAATTTAAAGCCATCTTTGCCAAATCCCTTTAACAGCACAAATCGAGCCGACGGTCTTCCTTCTCTATTTCATTGCAATTAATTTTAACATTATTAAAATTTAATTTCAAAACAATTTACCATGATTAAATATCTTTAAAAAAATTTACTTGTTAGCAGTTGCCAGCACCATTGCATTCGGTTCTCGAATCGAAGGAATTTTCGACGCGAGTTCAAACCATTCTCTGAATAAGCCAATTGGTTCCTTATATGATAAAGTTTCTTTGCTGAAAGTATGTCTACTATCTTTGTAAGGCGTCCTCATATCTAAAAATTAAGAAAATACTTAAGATAAGTTGAAGTGACTTACAATTAAGAAAAAAAACATATGTTTTTTTCTATATATGTGATAAACAGATAATATAGAAACTTGTGCAAACAACATTATCTATTTTTGAAGTGTGATTCCGATAAACACAAAAATTTAATTTAGCACTATGCACTAATATTTAATGCACGGTGCTTAAATTATAGCATAAATAATTATTCATAAATTAATTCATATAAACGAATAATTTAATTTTCTGATAAGAAAATGTATGTTTATATATTAAGTACTTAAACTATTAAATGTATTGAAAGATTTCTAACTGTAAAACCTTTGAATTCTAATTAAAGGTTAAATTAATGTTTATAATTTCTCATTCATTGCCAAATTATATATAAATATTTTATGTTTTTGTTTACAACACAGTATAATTATGTAAACAACCAGAGGAAAACAAATGTAATTGATAATGTTATTTCTCTACATGTGTTATGGGTGTAATTTATAAAATTATGTTGTTGTCAACAGAAAAATGTACTACAATAAATTTATAATAGTTAATAATTTACTAAAAATAAATTCCAATTGATGATTAGATTACAATGATATTATCTTGCTGTTTAGGCATTAATTTAGCATCTAGAAATATTTCAGAATAATATTTTATAATTGAATTTATCTGGCAAAAATATTTTAAATCTTGTAAAATTGATTTATATGAAAAGAATAAGAATTTTAAAATAAATTTTCCTATATGGAATTTAAATTATTTTTTAAATCAGATTAATTAATAAGTTACTTTTAGATAATTTAGATATAAATGTACAGAGGTAAATTATATACAGATATCTAACAGTAATTTCTACTAAAATATAAATACTTTTAAAAAATTCTTTGAATTTTAAAACATTTTCAATTAAATTCAAACATAATTATTCATAATTTTATATACATACATACATACATATCCTCACACTCTTGATCCAAAAGGATGGGAAGCAGGCAAAAAGAGATACAATCCTTCACATCATCCATTCAGCAACTTTCTCCACACCTTCCTGTCCAGACACATTTAAGCAGCAGCGTGTTATAGCTTCACGGGCACAGGCAAATTGAAATTGGGAGGCTCCATATACGGTGTTGACTTCAGATATTTTTTTGGGGGGAATATTTTCTTATAAAAGATTGGTTTGAGGTCCCCCTTCAGTGGGGAACCCAAGTAATTGCCTTTTTTTGCCACTTGTAGCATAGTTCCTCACATTCTCTTCCTGACTCAACATCTCGTGTTCTTTCAAATATTCATCCACTTGCTCCAACCAAGACTTTTTTGACTTTTCCTTACCATGCTTCTCATCCATCCTTCCCATATACACTCTCTTCAGCAATTCTTCAATTATTATTCATATTTTTTTAATAGTGAAGGGCAAATAACTTAATGTAACAGTAGAAGTTACCTTTAGATCACTAATTTATGTATTTATACATTAGCCGAGTACCTCAACGTGGTACAATTACACCTCTGAACGACACGATTCAGAGGTCCCCCTTCAGTGGGGAACCCAACTGAAGGGGGACCTCTGGGAATTATCAGAGAAGTAGACCATACCCATAGGAACAAGGCGAAGGGTCGCATTGACATTTTTGCTCGTCGGGGGGATCTAGAACTCTGGGGATGGATTTTTCACTCATCTTACCCTAAAAGTAACCTCTAACAACAAGTAAAATGGAGAAAAAATAGGAAATTCAACAAAAATAATGAAATCTTGACTGCAGATTCTTAAAGTACCAAATCATATAACACATCTTATTTTTAAGGCTTGTGGACCTACTAAATCGCCAATATTACACTAAATTATTTCTAATTACATTAATTAAAACACGTGATAACAAAAACACGTCTTCACAGTAAACAATCATCAGCGCACCCTAGAATTATGAAACACTTTTTTTTTCACTTAAATACACAAAATTTCCGTAAAAGATCAATGTTTAGAATCGAAAATATACGATAATTCTGGAAACGATTTACTCACCGCTTAGATCCATGCAGTAGTCCATTTTTATTTTCGCCTTTAATCGATAAATGTTAACGATCACGGCGGCTCTTATACCGTACGATGTGATTGGTAACAGCGCCATCTGTGAGCCTACGGGGTAATTACGACGCCGACGTGTCGAGCATTTCGCAATTTACTTTCGCGCGATGTAAATATGCAGTGTAAAGGGAAAAAAATCGCCGAAAAATATAATAATAAAAGTACTCAAAAAAGTTACTTAAACTTTTTAACCGAAGTGCCAAAACACTGACGGGAATGACATAACGCTAAAGTGGTCCCCTGCCGCCAGAACATAAGATTTATATTGAGTAACTCTATGGGCGGCATCGTGATAAAGTATGGATGCTCGCCATTCAGCCTGAAAATTATTTCTCGTTCATACTCGGTGTAGTAAGGTAAGTTTATTTTTTCGGCTTTATTTATATTACTGATCGTTCAAGCAATATGAAACCGTATGCATCAACGCATTTCTTTTATGTATTAATTGTTTATTAGCTTAAAACATGCGACGCAAATCCTCGCCAAATGCACCTTTCGATCGACAGTTTCTGTAGTAAAATCTTAATTTATTTATTTATGCTTCTAGACCAGAGTAAACATTATGTAGCAGTAGAATTTACGAAATACTCTCGTATTTTTTTATCTTTTGAAGTAAAATGAAGCTGAACGATTGGTTCTTAGCGTTTACTTTGCTGTTCCTTCTATCGACATCCGAATCTCTAGAGAGACTTTCAAAGGCTTTAGAACTTCTCGCTAACCAAGAAGAAGAGGACATAATACCAAACACGTGCGAAACCCAGCAAAGTACCATTCACGTAAACAAAGAAGAATATGACGAAGTTGGAAGCGTCGTTAGATCTTGTAGCGGCGATGTTTTAGTGACAAAGTGCGAAGGAACTTGTTCGTCTCAAGTAGAACCGAGCGTGGTGATGCCTACAGGATTCACGAAGGTCAGTGTAATTTCTTAAGACTGATTTTAGCCTCTTCGGTCTTCATCAGATGGCGTAGCTTTTTCTATGGAAAAATCCTTTTCCAAAAATTCTCGAAAACGGAATTAGATAGGATCAAATTGCTTATTGCATTAGAATCCTATTTAATTCTTCTATTAACGTACTGTTCGGAATTTTGAAAGTGTAATTTATTAATTTTTTACGAATTTTCTACGATTTTAAAAATTCATAAAAAAAATTAACGAATTCGATTTTCAAAATTCTGAACCTTATGTTAATAGAAGAATTAAATACAATCCTAAAACAAAAAAAACTACTCGGTCTATCTACTTCCGAGCATTTTTTGGAGAAGTATTTTCCCACAAAAAGAGCATTAAATTTTTACGCCATCTTCTGAGTAACCAAAGAGGTTGCAAATAGCCTTAAATTATTCAATTTCAATTAATTAATTTCTTTTCAGTCTTGTCAATGCTGCAGAGAAACTTGGATGACCCAAAAAGAAACACGCCTAACTGATTGTTACGATTCGAATGGGCAGAAAATATACGGAGAATTGGGAACTATGATTATATTTTTGAAAGAGCCAGATAGCTGTGCCTGTCACATCTGCGGTTAGTATTGTTTCCACTTGCAAAAACAGTAAACATGTTGACCAAATACAGTATGTAATTTGAAATTAATATTATTCTGTAAACGTGATTTATGAAAAAAATTAATAAACAGCGTTGAGATAAAGAATAATTTAAACATTTAAATATACAAAACGAAAAAATAAACATATAAAATTTCGTGAAATGTTTAATAGAAAATAAACAAATTAAATTTTTAAAGTTAAATTTAAAACGTAAACAAATGTACATTAGGAACAGGCGTAAATTATTGTTGCATTGTCACAATGCCTTGCTGCAATTTTTAATCATATTTTTAATTAATTTAATTTAAAATATATGCTCTCAATCTCGAATTAGTAGTGTCTTGCCCCTGTACATCATATTTTTCCTGTAGACGTTAAAAGGAAAAGTATGATGTACAGGGGCAAGATACTACTAAAATTGACATCATTGTAGCTAAAAATTGCAGCCCGGCACTGTGACTATGTCACAATAAGTAATAGCTCGTTCGTATTATTTTAACAGATATAAATTATCGAATAATTTATCGCATTAAAGTATATAACTCGCCTGCTGCGATGCGACTGCCATTTTGCGTTCCTATTTTGCATGTGCTCTTGGCAGCGTACCGAAAATGAACCTACTCCACTCTTAAACTGTCAATCTTTCAACACGTGTACGTAACATTTAGTAAGCTCTAATTGCATTGCTTTATTTTTTATACATTTTTAATTTTATGGCATCCGAAACTGATCATTGTATTTAAAGGTTTTCTTGCATTCGTTTCTGTTCATACTTCAAAACGAATCAAGTAGATTACAGCCTGCACTGATCTCAATTTCAAACATCCTTTCCCATAATTAATAGCGTAAAAATACTTTAGAATATGAAACAGTATCCACTTCGTATATATTTCACTCACCAGATGGCAATATATGCAAATTTAAGATTTTTATTTACAATTTTATTGCGTTCTCGTTAATAAATTATGTTTTTAATATTAATTTATGACAAGTCGAAAAACTGTACATTAATTAAACTTTTTAGTAACAATATTTATATATAATTACTCAATTAAAAAGAAATGCCTAACATTTCGCCCAACAGATGGCGCGCGATGATATGGAATAATTACATTTTATATAAATTTTTATTCATGAAAGTGTTTAAATTTATTTAAAAAAAATTATTGTTTTGTATAGTATATAATTTAATTTAATTATATATAAATTAAAATATATTTAAATAATAATATAGTTTCATACGCAAGACATTTGTTTCAGGAGTATTAGTGTTTATGATACGGCTAAGATAACAGCGCAAAATCTATTAACTTATTGTTAGAAAAATGGAAGAGAAATGTTAAAAATTTATGAAAAAAAGAAAAATAAAAAATATTTTCCTCCCCGGCGGGGAATCGAACCCCGGTCTCCCGCGTGACAGGCGGGGATACTGACCACTATACTACCGAGGACTGAAAACATTTTCTTTCTTTTGCATATATATATTATCCTTCACGTAATTAATTCCTCTTACAAATTTAAAGATTGATGTTTCGTGAAAAAATTAGCCATTTATAATCTAAAATGTCAACCTGATACGTATAATCGAGTCCAATCCATTTTGATTTTCGCAAAAAAAGTTACACGTGGAAGTTTGAACGTGGAAGTTTGAATTCTACCCGCAAACTCAGTACGCATGTCGAGTTGAAGATTATTCATCTACACGAAATATATAATAAAAAAAATTAAGTTTAATTAAAATTTCAATCTTGAAATTTCTTAATTAATTGGAAAAAGTTGAAAAAAATTTAAAAAAAAATGCAAAAATTGCATTTGAGCCGGACGTGACTCGAACACGCAACCTTCTGATCTGGAGTCAGACGCGCTACCATTGCGCCACCGGCCCGCCTGTTCGAGTCTTCTTTAATATCCTATATAAGTAACAGCCTAACTAATGAATTGTTAATTTATGTTATTATTTTCCTTTTATACGTGTGTTTATGTCAATTAATTGTATACACGATGAAATGAAAACATAAAAATCTACGATAACGCCTCCATCCTTTATTATATCTTACTTGTTAATATTCACCTAAACTTCTCACCAGATGGCAACAGCAGTAAACATCCGTTACTATTATAAATTTTACATATTTTTATAATTCAAAACTAAAAAAATAATAATAATTTTTAATAATAATCTTGAAAAATATTTTAGATTTCAACTAAAAGTAAAAATTAAAGAGGAAAAAAAATATATCGAATGGAAGCCATTTTTTATAATGTCTAACGGAGAGTTGTGTGTTAACTTGTATTACATTCCGTCATTAATTTTATAATTATTAACGAATATTAATAATAATTTCCTTGATTTAAATATAGGGAAACGTGGAGAAGCTTGGTGTAAGCAAAACACAGCGAAAACAAATAGGAACGGAGTAGCGAAAAATAAATAAAAAAAACAAGCCTGCAGCGATATTGCCTAAAGTAAATTTCTGTGACATGCAACCGATAGAATCACTTTTCAACTCGAAAAATTGTTAATGTTACGTTCGAATCTTTGAGGAAAAATCAAATTTATATAACAATAAGAATGGATATTATTTTCCTTTTGCAGATAAGAAAGTGCATTCGTTTCATTTTCCAAAATAATAAGTTAAATGTTTGTTATCAACTTTCCCGTTCTATTAACTCGTTCATTTTATTTTCATGCCATGTTTATTTATTAATTTAGCTTACTAGTGATGCCTAGAACATGAACTTTCTTTATTATTTCGAATGTCTGACCGTAAACAGCTTTAAAAATCTTGCTTCTAGATACTGTCCCCATCATTCGATTAACGCGTTACGTTGCTTTAAACTTAAGTACAATCGTTACATATTACGTATTTTTACGAAAATTGAAGCACATTGAAACAATACTGTTCGTTTACATACGTAAAAAAATGCTTAACAATCACGTTTCTCGCGTAATAACGGCATGATATCTCGCGATTAATCGAAACAGTTAAATTGAAACACAGATGTATAACAATAACGTATCTATGTAACAATATATGCGCTACTATTTGCTTACGTAACTATTGCGTTATTGTTACGTGGTAATAAAATAAAAAAGCGAATGAGTAACAATTATAGTATATCCTACTAACAAAAATTTTAAATATCGTCACAGATCCATCTACGTAACAATACAGAGAGATTTGTTTCAAGACGTTATTTTAACACCTTTATAAACAGAAACGTTACAAATTTTCGATCTGTTACGTAGCGCCTTGCAGCTAAGTTAACGAACGAAAAAAAAACTGATGTAAGGTCATATAGAAAATGAGATTTTTCACGAAAAAAAGTAAAATCATATTAACAAAAGGACATTATCCCACTTTCATAATTTCACTGTCCATTCTAAATAAACTAAAAATGCTTTCCTTGTATTTATTTCATATATGATCTTAAAATTCCAACGAACTAGTTCGGGGTAATAGGTAGCATTGAACTTCTTTTTAATCGTTTCCTTGAGTATGACCCATAATCAGAAATCACCATATTTACCAAGAAATCGGTCACTCGCTTATTCCATAATTCAGCTAAATGATGGGAACATTATCGGTGACGTTACGCCCTTACATACTGGCGGAAAAAAACATATATTTAACACAATAAATTTTACCAAAAAAATCACTTATTGTCAGATAAAGAAGTAATTTAAAATGGTGACTAAAATTACGGTTAGTTATTAGAAAGATAAACTTGGTATTACTAACCTAATTTTTCTTTTTTATATATATATATATATATATATATATATATATATTTTTTAAATTCCCCTTTTCTAACCTCTCTTTAGCCTGAAGGTTCCTTTTTTTGAAATGTGTTACGTCACCTGAATTTCTTACGCGTAAATTCTAAAAATAGATTCAAGTTTTCTCTGATTTTGAGTGGAGGTGAGTAGGAGGAACTCTTTCCGTGCATGGGAATCTTATGCCAGGTGTTATTTAAAGATTATCAACCTTAACATTGCCCTAATATAAGACGGTTGTTGGGTAAAAAAAAGGGACATGGAGGCAGAGAATTTCGACCTTTACAAAACGTTGTATAGAAGGAAAATTCTCTTTCTTCGAAATTGTTTTCACATAAATAGGGTAGCGTCCTGTAGGTCTTAGCTCTCGATGTTTTAACTTTTTATTTCTTTATTCTTCACTAATTTGTAACATTTGATAAAACAAAATTACTATCTTTCTCTCCTGTAGCGATTTAAATATTTAAAAATTTAAACCAACCAATCACGATAGCGAATTTTAAAAACTGATTTAAATTAAACCAATAAGAGCTATTCTGATATTAACAACAGAATATGTGATTAATTTATGTTTATAAGGGAAAATTTTTTAAATAAATATGTTTTTTTTTTTAAATTATACTTAATTGCAATTCATTTATAATTTATTGTTAAATCAACAGATTGAGCGTTAATAAAATAAGAATTAAAGTTTATATATCTTATATATAAAAATAAATAAATAAAATTTTTTTTACCGTTCTCAGTAAATCTCTTGTATAAAAATATCTTAACATTTTTAAGTTCTTAAAATCCAAATTTAACTTGATTTATTAATAAAATTACCTGAAAGAAGGAAACGAATTTGTTTTACATAAATTTTCTAGTGAAATGTCAATGATTTATTATTATTATTATTATTATTATTATTGTGGTACCTCAGGATACAAAATTAATCCGTTCCGAAACTGAGATCCTATCATGAAAATGTCGTAAGGTGAATCATTTTTCCCCATACGATTACACGTAAAACCAAATAATCCATTTCAACATGAAAAACACAC